CCCGGCTGTGGAGGCCGGGGGAGGCTGGCCATGCTGGGGAGAGTATCCCCTCTGCTCAGGCAGAGTGGGGAGCCCTCTCCCCTCACTCCCCACCTGCCTCTGCTTAGTTCCAGGTGTACCGGATCCAGGATGGCGCGCGCCACTCGGCAATGTCCCAGCTCCTCTCCAAGATCCGTCAAGAAACCCCCCAGCAGAGCTGAGCAGGACCCTGCTGCCGCCCCATCTGGGTGTGTCAGAACTCAGGGGGGCACAAGGCGAGCTACAGGGCCAGGGAGCAGCACGCTGCCATGTCGCTTTATTGAGGGAAGATGGTACCAGGGCCGAGTGCACATCTGCTGCAGCTGGGTGGGGATGCATGGCCTCTTGGCTACCCTGGTAGAGCTGGGCGCTGGGGTGGGTGTTTCATCCCAGGGTACCTAATCTGGGGGGGTGGCTGGTGTCCCGCACTGTTGGGTTCTGGTGCAGGAATAGCCGAGGGTGATGGTGGTGGGAGGAGAAGGGACCTGTGGTCGGATCCTGCATCCAGCCCTCATGTCAGCTTGCAGTGGGGCTGCCATGCCCTGGGGGCAGGGGAAAGGGAGCAGCTGGGGGGTCAGGACATCAGGGTGAGGAGCAACCCTGTGTGGGGGACTGGGAGAAGGCGTTTGGTCCACGTCCCACGTCTGCTGAGCTGCAGCCCTCACCTCCACATCCCCTGCTCTCCCAGCTTCTCCTTCCTGCTCTGGCTTGGGTTGCTGGGGGTTGCCGTGTTTCCTGACAGTATCCCGGGGAGGCAGCGGAGCCCCTCTGCCCGCCAGCTGTCTGCAGCTGGGCATGGGGGGGAGTGCCGTGCCGCCTCGTCCGGACCCCCCCTTTGCAGGGGTGTTCACAGCCTGCTGTGGTGACAGTGCCTGAGGGCGTCTCGCAGGGCACGCAGCACAAGGTCCACGTTGCTGCTGGTCGAGTTGCAGCCCATGAGGCCGATTCGCAGGACCTGGGAGGAGAAGGGCGAGCGTCTCCTTGCAGCACCCACCTTTGCGGCCATGCCCCGGAGCCATCGCCCTGTGAGCAGAGCGGCCAGCGGAGCGCAGGCTCCCGTGCACAGCCATGAGCACGGCTGGGTGTGAAGAAGTGCACATGCACAACTCCCGGCTTGCTCCTATTTAACATGCGGTTCCTCTAAAGATGTGTGCCTCTGCTAATTACGTGCGTGGTTATTCAATTACACACAGAAATTGTGTGCGGTTAGGAGCTGCTATGCATGGCTGCAGGCGATGGGATGCATCCAGC